TTATTGTTAACAATGCTTCCAAAAGGGTGCATGGCTCCTATAGGCTACCGTGGTATACGAAAGGTCTTGTGAAATATAAGAATCTGCGTAACAAGTATTTGTAACGATTTGGTAAGACCCGGGACCCTGTAGACTGGGCGAGATATGTGCAGCATAAGAGGGAGTTTGATGAATAATTCTTCTAATCAATAATTTTAATAAATCCGACTGTGATGGCATTTCTGCCTTTCTGATTCGCAACTGTGATGTTTCGCTCTGTGAACCTCTTAAAATTCTCGGTTTATTGGCAAGTGGAAAGCTGCCGCGATTACGCCAATCTTTAAGAAAGGTGCCAAAAACCTCATATATAATTATAGACCAATTGCCAAACTCGGTAATGTTTCAAAACTTCACTTTCTTCATGAAGTCGTACATTAGCCCAAATCAGCATGGTTTTATGCCGGGTAGATCAACGACCACCAATCTCATCGCTTTCAGTAATTTCTGCAATGCTTTCTCAAGTAGATGTTGTGTATACTGTCTTTGCTAAGGCCTTTGACAAAGTCTCCCACTGTGCCTTAAAAGCCAAGCTGCATCGGTTAGGAATTCATTCCTTCCTACTCAGTTGGTTTAGGTCATATCTTGAGCGGCGAGAGTTTGTAATATTGTTATATGGGAAGCTTTCGTTCGGATAGAGTTTCTCGTTGGTGCAGACTTAATTCGCTCCCACTCAACGTTAGCAAATGCTGCTTTGTTTCCCTTAGCAAGTGTATCTTCAAGGTGCTGGCCTCATACTCTATAGATGGCAATCCTCTCTTAAAGCAGAAGGAGATACTTAACCTGGGGGTCTTATTCGACTCAAGATTTCTTTTTGCTGAGCATCTGAATTTTATATTGCCAAAAGCCTATGCTATGTTTGGCTTTGTTAAGCGCAATTCACCCCAGTTCAAGGACCCATATACGAGGGTGAGCTTGTACTCATTACTTGTGCGCTCGCCCCTTGAGTACGCTTCCATGGTGTGGAATCCCAGTGGGGTCGTTCAAATTTCATGCATCGAAAGATCGCAACGAAAGTTTCTCAAATTTGCACGCTGCCGTCTTATGAGTGCCGACATCTGCACTCGTTCATCTCTCCTCTCTCGAGGATAGCAGGACCATTGCGGCTCAGATTGACATTTTAGTGGGTAACATTGATTGTCCTGACCTGTTTAGTAGGATTTGCTTCTGTGCCCCTGCTAGGATCCTAAGGGACCAATTATGGGCAATTAATGTGCCCATTTGTATGGCGCTTCGACAGCACAATGCGCTGCCAGCTGGAATGCATTTTGACTTTTGCCAGGGGAAGGGAGCCGTCAGACGGTTGCTTGTAGACCTCTTCCTTTACCATAATTAGCTCTTGTAAGGTAGTCTAGCCAGATAAGGATTTTTTGATTCCGTTGACGAATAAGAAAAAAAAAATAAATAAGACCAACCAAACTCTCCTCCTCACACGCCGCTGCGCTCATCGCAGACTGCAAGGCCAAGGTCATCGACGGCAAAGCACACGACTGTCAGTGGGAAAGCACGGACACTACTAAAAGGGCTGAGTCCCTTCTCAGTTATCTACTGACCACTCAGATGGTCCTTAAAACGGGCAAATGATCCCAACTTAGGCCTCACACTTGCCTTTCACAACATACAGAGGAACATAGCATCCTGCAGTATCCTTACATAATACTCGTTCGCGGACCACAGGTACGTGGAAACTGCATTCTCTTTTTTCTCCTTACCGAGTCCAGTTCAATTCCGGAACCTCAGGAGGACAAACTGGACTCGGTAATCAGATCACCTGGGCTGCGTTCCCCCTGAGTACCCCCTGAGGATGAGATTTCACGGGTAGCCACGTTGTTAAAAAATTTACCGACGACTGCAGTGAGGCCCTTAATAAATCCTGCCCCTCTAGTAAAACCAGAGGCAGGAAAAAACCCTAATGCTGCACTCCGAAACTACGGGAACTCCGGAAAAACTCGCGGAGACCTTTCAACAGAACTAAAGCTCTAAATGTTGAGCAGAACTGGAAGAGAGTAAAAACAGTCCATCTACCTACAACCAAGGAAACAACAAATTAATGAAGCGAAAAGTGCCTCATGGGGAAAGCTCTGCTAAGAAATCGAGAAGCTTCGCGCTTGCGCAGAGTTCTCTCGAGGACAACACCCACCCTGCGCTACCTGAAGAAAGCCGACTAGTCTTGGACAACGTCCAGCAACGAGTAGTTAAACCTTCTCTTTAACACCCACTTCTCTGCCTGCGACGTTAACATATTTAATATGTTTTAATTAGTATCCAGACTATCGATGTAAGGAAAACGTTAGTTGCGTAATCCAAAGATTTAAGACCTACAAGTCTGCTGGAACAGATGATCCAAACTGATCCACGCCGGAACGAGAGCCACTTACTGGCTCAAAAGTATCTACGAAGGAGTTTTCTCCCACGGGCACATCCCAGACGCCTGGCATTAGATCAAAGTTGTTCTCAGTCCTACGGCAGGCAAGACCTCACACACCAACCCCAAACTTTTCAGACCCATAAATCTCTCGTCTCTCTGAAGACGATGGAACGATGGAAATGGGGTTACATCTCATGTCTTACTGCTGAAATGCTGCAATCGATTCCCAAAACCGATAAACTGAGGCTGTATCCTGGAGATAGAGAGGTGACCGAAATAGAGGTGACCAAAGATTCTTCAAGAGTTCGGGGCAGACATAGAGCAACTCTCATAATGGTTCGGATACAGAAAATAATGTTTGAGGAAGCAGTCAGTAAGGCGTTAACTTATGAAGCATTGTTCTTAATATGCTGTCCAGGGACGTAAGTGCATCTTTTATGGACTGAGGTGGATGATGGTAAACGATTGATAAGAAACCAGGGGCATGGAGTATTCAACGAAAGGTGCTTCCTCTGCAATAATACAGGACATATGGCAAAAAACTGTTGTGATCGACAAAACGGTGCCAGATTTCGGGAGCTGAAAGCATCTCCAGAACAAATAATGGATTCGAGATTTGGAAATCTGACTATTAGAGGCGTAATGGATGGAAATGAATGTGTGTTGACTTTGGACACAGGTGCGTCTCAATTAAAAAGTAGAAGGGGCTTACCTAAAGGAAATGTGGAGCCTCTTAATGGAATACGACTACAAACAGCTGCAGGTGGAGACACGCAGAAAAAGGGAAAAATTACACAGAAGCTTGGAATTGTAAAGACGATCCTAGAGCACGATTTTATTGTAGCTGTTATAATGAACGACATTATCATAGGAGTATATTTTATGACCCTTTATGGTTTTATATTCGACGTGAAGGAATGAGTTCTTAGATATGTCCACAATTGTCCATATGTGAAAACGGTGACAACGGGTATGTGAGAAAGATTTACGCATCGTACAACGAAATGTCAAGGAAAAAGATTGACACTGCAGTTCACACCGAAAGACCTAAACACGTTGTAGAATTTATCGGGAATTTATAGGGTTTTGACTCGCGGGGTGAACCAGAGCTGTAGGCGGCAAAGACGAGAACGAAAAACATGACTGTTTTTAATCAGTTCGACATTGCGACCCTCTTCAAGATTATTTTTTGACCAGGCTATGCTGCGGCGTATGTTGCCCAACATCGTTATGTTGCTTTATAAGTGTGAATGCATGTAAATATGTTAGGCGCTATCTTAGGCGGTAGCGTCTTCATTGTCTCTTCTTATTTCATCTCTAGTTTAAATCGCCAGCTTCAGGTTACCGTCTGGAAAATATTACGATTTTAAATTCAAAATTGATATTTTTTTGTGGTATTTTTTTCAAGATGTTGACTATAAAAACTTAAGAAGTGTAGTTAAATAGGCGTGAAATATACTTGTGCACGTTCGTCATCACAGGAGTGCAGGTCCCAAATTTGGTTGCTCTAGTTCTTGTAGTCTCTGAGGTCTAGTCGCTCACTTTTAGCTATAGGCAAAGTCGACCATGACACGTGTTTGTTAGAGAGAGACAGAGCGAGAGAGAATGAAATTACTTCAGTCTGGCTGTAATAATGGTATCAGATTCTGCTATCTAGAAAATACAGTCATTGTCTACGATTCTGCGTTTTTGGTTTTCTCGTATCTTGAAAATTGTGGATGCCACAGATTTTCGTCCTTTGCGGGGTGGGGTGTAATTTTGAAATACACTTGTGCAGGTTCGATATCATAGGAGTGTGGATACGCTAGCTGTTATAGTCTCTGAGATCTAGTCGCTCACTTTTAGCGATTGGCAAATCCGACTATGAAACCTGTGTGTTAGAGAGAGAGTTTTTTGTATCTTTGAAATTGTGGATACCAAAGATTTTCGTCCTTTATGGGGGTGGAAGGGGCGGGGCGAAGTTTTGAAATACACTTGCAACAGTGACATATCACAGAAGTCTGAATACAAAATGTCGTTGCTCTAGCTCTTATAGTCTCCAAGCACTAGGCACTCATAGGGATGGACAGACAGACGGACGGACAGACAGACATGGCTCAATCGGCTTGGCTATTGATACTGATCAAGAATATATATACTTTATGGGGTCGGAAACGCTTCCTTCTGGACGTTACACACATACATTTTCACCACAAATCTAGTATACCCCTAGTATACTCATTTTGAGTAACGGGTATAAAAAAAACAAATTCATTGAAAAATTTTGAAAAAGTCGGATTGGTTCGTGGCGTAAAATCGTTTTGAATAGCTTGAATAATTTTTAATTAAGGTGTAACAAAAGTCTTGCAACGAGATTTTGGAAAACGAGTCGATGTGCGGCGCAGCCGGCCATCTTAGTTTCTGGTCTAAGTCAAAATTTATTTTTAAATTAGCAACCAATAGTAAACCGACGGGAAAGTGGTCGAAAGCCAATAGGCGCACTATTCAAAACATAGAAGGTTGGATTCACCGCTGTGGATTTAGCGTTCTTATTGGATTATATGTTTTTCGTTTATCTAAATATTAAAGGGCTAAAATATAATATTTCAATACACACCTGTTGAATATGCCATTGTTTTGGGAAGGTTAACTACGTCGCGACGAAATGTAGACAGGTTTTGCGTAAACCTAAAATAATAGAAAATATATGAAAATATATGTAACGTGAGGGGCATAAATGCCGGTACCCGTCCCTCAGTTTTTGATCTTATGATTTATCTTACTCATATAGTATATTCCTGCATTTTGTCTCTACCCTCTTCCACCTAATTACGCATATAGTCTATTACGCATTAGTCCGACACGTGCAGCTCCAGATCGCCAAAACTGCTGGATCAGCGTCTGGACGATATCCACCAACGGCGAGGGATTCCGAGCAGGGACCCGCGCGTGAAACGATAGAGCAAAACGGTTTCTAAGTTCGCGTACTCGGATTAATTAAAACCCTTATGTTAATTGTGACGACGGCATATCAGTGGACCGACGTGTAACGACAGAACAAAACGATTTCTAAGTTCGCGTATTCGGACCTACTAAAAAACACTTAATTGTGTCAGCTACAATTTGGTGGACCAGAGGACTGTAGATCCGCTCGCAGGACACCTTCACTGGATTGTGGAAACCGAGGCAAAAGTAGGAAAACCAAAAAGGAATATGCTCGGACCATCTGCAGGAACGGCCACATCCCTAACCTTACTGTAAGCTAGTTAATAGACCCTATAAACAATCAAAAGAAAAATCATAAGACAAAATAAATCGTTTCAAATTGCAATCTAAAATTATCCAAAGTAGAAGGAAGAACCCAGCCACTGGGTTTAATAGAAATACACTTACATATAATAAACAAAAAACAATGTGAAACCTAAAGCCACAAGCACAATAAAGGCAAATAAAAAATCAACACAAACAAAAAAATAATAAAAATTGTTAAATAAAACAGTACATTATCAACCCCAGTGGGCCAAAATTTTCATAAACCATAGATAGAGTTGGCATATTAATCCCACAAATTACAATCGAAAATATAACCCACACAATCATACTCTATATTATTTACATTTATATATAACATTTTTGACGGTGACGGTGATAAATTTGGTCCGCGCCGAAAAATTTGTGTAACTAATCAACCAAGTTCATGGCAAATCCGAACAATCTTATCCAACCCCCTGTACTAAATTTAGCACAACAGGAACAGGAGGGCGACCGAGAATGTCCCGGCTCAAGGAATCAGTACAGAACAAAGAACAAACTTATCAGACTTAGATAAAATACCGGACGTAGTCAAATGCATTCGGTAATTCTCAGGAGATCCATGTCAATTTAGCTTGTGGAAAAAAGGAGTAGATAGGATTCAAAATTTACGTCTTTAAAGTGGACTGCAAAGTATTTCGGCATTTTACATACCATTAGAAACAAAATAACCGGAAATGCCGACTCAGCACTACAGTCATACAATTTCCCGATAGATTGGGGCGCAATGTCAAAAGTTGTAACGCTTCATTATGCTGACAAACGGGATATAAGCACTTTGGAATACCAAATGCAACGATCGTTCAGAGTAACAAAAAAACCGTTGAAGAATTCCATCAGACAGTCTTTAGACATTTAATGTTTATTTAAAAAAAATCGGATGAATGGAGGTAATACGAGAATCCGCAGCATTACTCACAAAAATTTACCGAGACAAAGCCTTTGTTCGAGGACTTAAAGGCGATCTTTCACGCCTTCTCGGCATAAAAGAACCGCTAGACCTTCCAAATGCTCTGCATTTGTGCTTAAAATTGGAAAATTAATATTATAGCACCACTCATGCAAACGGTAGGACACAAATGTTCCGGCCTATGGACCAAAGACCGGTAGCAGCACCAAGAACAATACAACCATTTCATAACGAAGTGCAAAGACAACCTCCATCCGTTCCACCACGGAACTCGACCCTATAATACCCTAATAACACAATACGGTACAACTATCAAACCCAACCGCACATTGCATCACGACAATACTATCCGCAATTCAGGGAGCAACCATTAGCTGCGACAGTATCCCAATTACCAATACGCACAACAATCAGCCCCATCTCGACCTATAGCACCCAAACCGTTACCGCACCCAGAGCCAATGGACGTGGACCCAAGCATTCAGACTAGACATGTGAATTACATGAACAAACCTCGATTCGAGGCAGACAAAAGACCACCACCGCCAATAAACCAAACGGACAAGCGACAAAGGAACTTTAACATAAAAATACGAACAGGTAGAACCAGCCATTGCCGAAACATACTCTACCATTGCTGATTATGAAAATGCAATTCAAGACTACGAAACTCAGAATGACCATGAGCAAACATTAGACGATTAAATAGCACAAATAGACGGCAACGAAGGGGAGGGCACCAACCATTATGACCAATAGGCACTTAATTTTTTAGAGTAAAGAACTCCACCCTACCATATTTTGAGTGTAAAGACGGGGGGCAGAGAAACACTCAAAATCCGAATAGACACAGGATCAAAAAGAAACTATATTCAACCTAAATGGGTACCAAATCCGAAAATCAATAAAAACCCATTTAACGCTATTACTGTAAGGGGCAACGTTCCAATAAATCATCAAAAAAAATTATACCCTTAAAAGAGATTGTTAAGACCTTAAAAGAAAAGTCTAGACATTTGCGAATTGAGTTGTAAATTCAAACTAAATTGTATTCTTTTAATCAGAGCCTTATATGTGATTTGACAATGAGGCAGGACGTACAATTTTGAATTCTATAATTCTGCTGCGCAATACTCTTGTGGGCAGCCGGCTTGAAACAACCCTTTTTTCTCGGTTCTTCTTTTCACCCACTCGCTGTCTCGCTTCCTCTGCTTGCGGCTTCTGAGAGTCAAATGCGCAGTTTTTTTGCACCGAATTTTTGCTTTTCCGTCTCGCTTCGTCTGCTGTCGGCTTCTGAGACATGAGACACACAATTTTTGATTTTTTCCACTTTACACAGGCAGTACGCGACCGGTTGAGCCCCCAAATGTAAGATATTATTTAGAGTATTGTTTATTCGTATTATTATCGCGGTGGCCTGGTATGTGTGCTTACAAAAGTTCTTAATGTTACGGCTTATTTCTGCTGATTTTCTGCTGCTTGCTTGAGTCGCGTCCGTATGCTGCTGTTCTCTCCTTTTCACTGCCTCGCTCTGTTCCTCTTCTTCTCTGTCCGCTGTTGATCTGCTGCTGTTACTACTGCTGTTGCTACTGCTGTTGCTGTTGCTGTTACTACTGCTGTTGCTGCTCATCAGCTGTTCCTCTGCTGCTGTTATTACTGTTGTTGCTGCTCCCCGCTGCCCCTTCAATAGGCCAGCTGGCCCACTCCTTCTTACATACATTAGCGTTATTTAAAGAATGCGTTAAGTTTTTTTCCCACTTGTCTTTTGTTGTAGTATCTTTTGATGAGCTACCATTTTACCATATTGCACTACTTTTTTCAACGGTTTCCACTCTTTATTCTGCGACGTGTAAAGAGAAGTGTACCGTTGTTCTAAAAACTCCATTACATCTGGCAATGCTTGGATCTATTTTGTCCTTTTTATATAACTTTCAAACAATTGTAAGGTATCTTTGTTGAACTTTGAACACTATGTGCGCGAAAATCACATCAACTTCTTCTGTTAATTGTGACTTTAATTTGATTAAATGTATTGACTCATTTATAGAATTAGAAAACCATTTAATATGTTTCGCTGAATCGTGATCTAGCAGTGGTAAGTCTAGTAAACGATTCAGCTGATCCGAAAATATTTTTAGTTTATTTTCATACCGCTTGGTCAGCAATTGCCAAGCGGCATTATAATTCTCCAGCGGCCCAGTTAAAAGGTGAGCTACCATACTCCGTGCCTCAGGTTTTCCACTATTCTGTTGATTTCCTCAGATACTTTTTCTATGCTACTGTCAATTTTGGGCTCTATGTCTTCCTTCAAAGTTCCAGTCTCCACTGATTGTAACTTTGTTATTTCTACCTTCCCTTTCGCTAGGGTTTCATTATTTTTTGACTCTACATACTTTTTATGTATGTCCTCTATATTTTGAATCATTTTTTCGAACTTCTGTCTCTTATAGTAGTCATGATCGACTAGTCCATATCTAACAGTGCAGAATTATTTCCTGTAACTTTGTTCTTAAGGTCTGCTAACCCTTGGATTATATCGCTGGTCAAATGACCAGCTTCAATCATAATCTCCTGTGCTATCGCGGCTTGAGCCTCTAATAGCTTAATTATTTGTTCCGATAACATCTTACTTTAATTTGTTACTTAATTAGGCTTAAACAAATTTTAAATATCTGACTTAGCTGATGAATTCTGCTTTTGTTGTTACTGCTGTTAAAGTCGCTGCTGCTGATACCGTTGTCGCTGCTGCTGGTGTTGCCTCTGCTTATGTCGCTGCAGCTATTGTCACTGCTGCTAATGTCGATGCTGCTGAAGTCGCTGTCGCTGATGTCGCTGCTGAAGTCGCTGTCGCTGCTGCTGATGTCGCTGCAGTTATTTATTTATTTTTTCACAGTCACAGTTATTTGCCACCTTTTTTTCAATTGCTAGCCATTAAGAACTTTCGATGTTTCGGATTATTATTTTTTTCTTTCGATGTTCCGGCCTCGAAAACGCCACCGTCGCGAAAAATTTTTATTTTTCAATTACAATAGATATATTGTAATATCTTTCGTTATCTATTAAAATACAGCCTGTCCAGCTCGTATTTTTCCAAAATATTAATTGAAACTTCCGTTTAGCTCGTATTTTTCCAAATTATAATTTGAAACTTACGTTTCATTAATTTATTTTATACTCTGTTCCTTCCTATAGGAGGGAAATCAGAATTTTATTTTGCTACCTTTAGCTGTCAGTGAACTAGACACTTGTTCAGTCTCAAAGGAGCTGGTTTAACTCCGTGCTCTTACCACAGGGGGGAAACAACAGAGAGTCTCGAAGGACCAAAATGTTAAGACCTTAAAAGAAAAGTCTAGACATTTGCGAGTTGAGTTGTAAATTCAAAACTAAATTGAAAACACTTAACCATTGTATTCTTTAAATCAGAGCCTTATATGTGATTTGGCAATTAGGTAGGAGGTACAATTTT